CCCTCCTCATCAGCGGTGGCATCCTGGTACTGCTGGTACTCCGAGACAAGGTCGTTCATGTTGCTCTCGGCCTCGGTGAACTCCATCTCGTCCATGCCTTCACCAGTGTACCAATGCAAGAAAGCCTTCCTCCTGAACATGGCAGTGAACTGCTCGCTCACCCTCCGGAACATCTCCTGGATGGAGGTGGAGTTGCCAACGAAGGTGGACGCCATGGAGAGCCCTGTCGGCGGGATGTCACAGACGCTGGACTTGACGTTGTTGGGGATCCACTCCACGAAGTAGGACGAGTTCTTGTTCTGGACGTTGATCATCTGCTCGTCCACCTCCTTTGTGCTCATCTTTCCACGGAACATGGCAGAGGCGGTGAGGTAACGGCCATGGCGAGGATCAGCGGCGCACATCATGTTCTTGGCATCCCACATTTGCTGTGTGAGCTCTGGGACCGTGAGGGCACGGTACTGCTGAGACCCACGGGATGTCAATGGAGCGAAGCCCACCATGAAGAAGTGGAGGCGAGGGAACGGGATAAGGTTCACTGCCAGCTTCCGGAGGTCGGAATTCAGCTGACCAGGGAACCTTAGGCAGCAGGTGACTCCACTCATGGTAGCAGAGATTAGATGGTTCAAGTCCCCAACTGCACAAAACAAGCAAACATGGAACAAGTTACATGGTGTTCTCCAAAAAAGACAGGAGAAATACTAGAGGCAATGGAAAGTTGAAGTGGCTTACAGCTAGGTGTGGTCAGCTTAAGAGTCCTGAAACAGATGTCATAGAGAGCCTCGTTGTCAAGAACCATGCACTCATCAGCATTCTCAACCAACTGATGGACTGAGAGAGTTGCATTGTATGGCTCAACCACAGTATCAGATACTTTTGGTGAGGGGAACACTGAGAACGTCAGCATCATGCGGTCAGGGTACTCCTCCCTGATTTTAGATATCAAGAGGGTACCCATGCCAGATCCGGTACCACCACCAAGAGAGTGGCATACTTGGAATCCTGATAACGTGAACATGTAGGATTAATTATCAGCAATACATGATAAAATAAAGCACAGGCATGAAAAAAAATATAGAACAATACATCAATTGAGTACACTTGCAGACTTGCTAAGCAGAATACAAATTAAGAACACTATCTTGAATGGGTGGATTGCATGGATTGCATTATTATACAATTATATTGTCAACCACTAGACTACCTCACAAGAATATTTACACTGATAAAAAAGATTCTTATGCTACTTATTTGGTGGGCCGACAAATCAGAAGGATATATAGAATGCACCATGATATAATGTATAATTAAATGAGTGCCGGACATGTAAATATTCCAAAGGTTTCCAGAATTCACAACCATCTCAACACTATTATGGCGTACATTTCATATGACAAGGAAAGGAGACACCACATAAGCTTGCACACTCTAATGGAATAAACAGGATTCTATCTAGCAACTATCAGAGTTCAGTAAGTGATGAGCTCATTACCTTGCAGACAGTCACAGTTCTCAGCCTCCTTCCTCACAACATCCAAAACAGAATCGATAAGCTCAGCACCCTCGGTGTAGTGGCCCTTGGCCCAGTTGTTACCGGCACCAGATTGCCCAAAGACAAAGTTGTCAGGGCGGAAGATCTGCCCATAAGGGCCAGTGCGGACACTGTCCATGGTACCAGGCTCAAGGTCCATAAGAACAGCCCGGGGCACAAAGCGACCACAGGAGGCCTCGTTGTAGTAGACATTGACACGCTCCAACTGCAGGTCAGAGGTACCGGTATAGCGCCCAGTTGGGTCAATGCCATGCTCATCACACACCACCTCCCAGAACTTGGCACCGATCTGGTTGCCGCATTGCCCGCCCTGGATGTGCAGGATTTCCCTCATCTTCGCCCTGGAAACAGAAGGAGACGCATGACCAAATTAATATCAGATACTGCAACAACCAAGGAAAACTAAGGAACCGATTCAACAAAGGTTAGTTAGATCATGCACAACTGGATCATTTACGAACTAATGAGGATTTCAGGTCGTATATCAGTAAAGCACGGATCTAAGCAAGCGATACATGGGGCTTCAGATCCCAGTTGTCATTGAACACATCTAGATCCGGAGTTTTCAAGCAAAAAAGGCAGTAACAATGACTGGGGAACTATACTGACAAATCAACTAGTAAAAGCAAAATCGTGCGCCACCAGATCTTCTAAACAATAACTCGGGAACTATACTAGTATTCTGTCGAGTGGATCCCAAACAATATACTACCACTATTAATAATCTAACAAGTGCCACATAACATAACTCCAGAATATACCACACTACTACAGTAACAAGGGGCCGGACCTAGATCCAGATCTGTCGAAATGAAATCCACAGATCTAAGAAACGATTGAACGGAGCAAATCGAAGTACTCCAACCTAGAATAGAGAGAACTACAGACCGGATCCACGCATTGCTCTACACAAATCAGCAAAGCCGACGAAGATCCTAGCGCAATACCTCTTCCGCCGCCAAAAAAATTCAAAAAAATTCGGACCCAGCAACTACTCGAATCACCGTGATATTCCAAATCCAGACTTACAGCATCAAAAGTACTAAGGATAAAGTGCGGGCACAAGACTGGTAAAGAAAGACCGTGCTTACGAGATATGAGATGGTTCCCGCAGGCAGAACAATCGGCGGCGAGAGGGGAGCGGAGGGGTGGGGGTAGGAGGCGGTGTGGTGGCCGGGGAGGAGCGACGCGAGCGCGGTGGGTATTAAATAGCCGTAGGCGGCGGAGGGGACGGCCGGCATCCGACGGCCCACGCGCGCTCCCTCGTCGGGCCCGACGGCCCGGATCGCTCGACCTTGAGTAAATTTGAAATCTCCCACTCTAGGCGGAATGCCCGAACTGCCCACGGGATATTTCGCCACGCTGGCCCTCGTTCGTCGGTGGTCACCGGCCAGCGCTGGACACAGACCAGCGCCCACGCGTGCCTCGCGGCTGACAGGCTGGGTCATTGCTTGCGGGCCCGCATGTCGGTGAGGCCGTGGGTGGCACAGTGCGGGGACCGCCATTGTTTGCGCAGGTGTCTGGCTGGCCCATGTGGGGCTATGGGTCGGGTTCAGATGCGTTCCAGAGTTGTATCGTGGGGCTGGGATTATTTGGTGGGTGCTGGTTGGTGCGAGGTCCAGTCTCCAAGGCGTCCGCCCTACGGAGAACAGCTCGGCGGGTGGGCCCGCGAGGACGGGGACATGTGACCGGTTCTCCCCCCTCCCGCCTTTCCTGGGGACCGCACGTGTGAGGCACATGCCCGCCGTCTGTGCGCTCTCTCCGTTTCAGTTCCACGCCATGCTCTCCTGTCTCTGCTGATTGAGTGAGGAGATTGGATCGTAGTACTGCTTGAGTGCATTCCAAGTGTCCTCTTTTGTTTTGCAACCCTGACAAGATGGCGTTTTGGAAAAACATTTGCCAGCGCAAAAAAAGGTGAGCTCAGATCGGGAGATAGAACGTCGACATGCAAACACAAATGTGTGCAGCAAGTCAGGAAGAATGGATTAGCAAATTGACCCAAATGCTTTTCCAGGTTACCAGAGATTTTATCTAAGGAATTTTGTAACCGCCCCCTCCCCCTCCCTTTTCCGGTTTTTGAATTACGTGGACATCTATGTTTTTAAAAAAAATTATGAAAAAGGGTTTCCCCCACTTTGTATTACAAAGCAACCAACATCGATACAGTCAATGATAGGTGCTGGGGCGGAAGCAGCACAGTCACGCCCAAAAGAAAACGAAAGAGAAAACAAAAAAGAAAGAAACAAATGCGAACAATGACGGGTCAACAAAAACGATGACGGCCCACAACCGCTGCGCCCACCGGAGAATTCCACCACACTCCAAGCACTCCAGACCGCCGCATACCAAGCAACACTTTCAAAAAGGATCGCGACGCCGACGACGCTGCTGCCCAGACAAGTCCTAGGGTTTTCCCCGGTACGTAGAGGAGTGCGGGGGAAGGGGCAAACCCGACGCCCTTCAAAAAGGCACGGCGGCGCCCAAACCCAGATGGGCCCAAAAGGGCCCAGATCTGGCCGGGAGGGCACCGCCACCAGCCACCACGACGCCCCGCCGCCGCCACCTCGCCACCTGACACCGCGCCACCCAAGGGGCCACACCGCCGCCGCCAGCCGCCCGAGCCATGGCGCTGCGCGGGGGGGAGGGGGGGGGCGCCGCCGCC